TTGAGCAGTGAGGTTACCCAAGTCTGGTTATTCATGGAGTGAAAGTTGTAAGAGTTGTGTTGTTGATGTCAATGATAACGAGTGCCAGGAGAGATCTGCTGAAATGGTAAACTGGGGGGTTTCACTTGTGCTGGGTGAAGGTGAGATGATAAAAATTTGACCCGTATATTTTGTAACTGTCATAATGAGTGTGAAAACCAATGTCATATATTACAGTTCTCATTTGAATAGACGTTTTTGCATTGACTTTTTGCTTTAGTGAATGCACGCGTGTCTGTTTGTCAGGTAACTGGAGTACTGATGGCTGTAATACTACCATCGACAGTGGAGACTTTGTGTGCAGTTGTAATCATCTGAGCTTTTTTGCAGTGCTCATTGTAAGCACATTTGTCATGTGATTCTCTTCAGTGAACTTTTTTGTTTTAAAATGTTCACTTTAAAATTAAACTTGGCTGTTTAGCAGTGCTCATTTGAATGTCCTCTTTTGTTCTCAATATTTCTGAAAGAATCCTGAAATTCCTGAAGAGTCCCATATTGTCCTTCTCAACTACATTTCATACATTGGCTCTGCCCTTTCAATAGCATTTACAGCCCTTATGATTGTTATGTTTCTGTGCCTGAGGTAAGTTCATTTTTAAATCAGATTTCCCATACAGTTTCAGAATAAGATGTCTGTGGTACAGATATAAACAGATATCTCTCACCATCTTCCCCACAGGAAGAAGCAATGTGAGCATTCAGTCATCATTCACGTGCAGCTCTCAGGCTCCCTTTTCTTGTTGCACACCTCGTTCTTGTGCAGCGTGTGGTTTTCAGGCCAGAGAGACATTGAATCAGTGTGTCAGGCTCTAGGACTTTTTCTACACTGGTGCCTTTTAGCCACCTTCACTTGGACAGCCATTGAGGGCTTCCACCTGTACCTGCTGCTGGTGCGGGTCTTCAACATCTACATCAAGAGATACTTGCTTAAATTAAGTCTTGTGGGATGGGGTGAGTTCAAATTCACATTTTGGTGTCAACAGTAGCTATACACTATTTCAACATTACTCAGCTAGGGCCCTATGATTGTGGAAAATGTGGATGGAATTGAGAAATCCAGTCTTAAAAATGGAATTTACTGTATAATGTGGAATGTCATGAAATTTGGCAAAATTTTTAATGAATAAATCAAAAGCCGAGCTGTACATTTAATCAAATTACGATGTAAATATTAAATCTCAAAAAGACTATTTAAAGATTGAGTTCAGTTGATTAGATAGTAAACCATGCCTTAAAATGGAATAATAAAACAGATAAAACTGATTTCATCCTGGACTCTCATTCCAAAAAAGACAAACCTTTGCTAGATTTTGTAGGGTTTATTCACTCAAAACATTCATTGCACTGCAAACATGTCATGCAGTTTTGATCAGCAAGCCTACGCTTTTGCACATGTGCCAAAATCTGTATAATTTGCTTAAATTAATAAGAAATTACAATTTGGTTTGAACAACTAACTGTTCAGAGATCCAAACGTATTGTTTTGAAAAAAA